TGTTTTAAACGTGACTCTGACTTGAAGTTTGATTTTTGTATTTTTTTCAGTTCGATCTAGATGGTCACAAAGTATATGCAGTCGTATCTGGAAGAAAAGGAGCCATAATTTCAGAAGACATTGAGTATGGAACAACATTTTATAGTCCAAAAGCTAAATTACCAATAATTGAATCATTTGGATTTGATGATGAATTAATGTCAAAAACATCTGGAATTGCTTTACCACAATCGATCTTTGATGGGTTTTTTAAAATTGATCAAGATCCATTTTGGATACCCAAAACTGATGAAGAATTAGAATATTTTGGTCAGATTGGTGCACATTGAGTTCTGTTCGCGAACATTCAAAGAAGCGTAAAAATGGCTCAGATTTTATACTTTAGATAGGTTAAAGTGTGTCTGTGGTGTGCATGTATCAAAGAGGAAATCCTACAATGAACAATCAACAAAGGAATACGGAATATCAAGGCGAGATGAAGTAAATAACGCGGGAGCCCCAATTAGGTGCCCCTTTTTAAAAAAAGGGCGCCTGAATTGTTTGTAGCCTGGTGTCCGACCCGAGAGGGGGCTCCGGATACTGCTCCGAGGGCGCTAAATAGTGGGATCCAAAAGTAAATAGCAATTTTTATTTAATAGCAAGTTACATTGGATAAGGAATGTGATTGAACAAAAAGTAATTAGCAGTTTTTATTCAATAAGGGTACACAAACATTACAACCCATTTGAAAAACCCATTTGAGAAAAAATAGAAAAACCCATTTAAAAAATTATTTTTTTGAACAGAAAAATAAATTGGGTCCCTCTGGAATTTTCTGTTCAAAAAAATATTTTTTTGAATGGGTTTTTACATTGGATAAGGAATGTGATTGAACAAAAAGTAATTAGCAGTTTTTATTCAATAGTATTGTTGATTGAATGAGAAGTATAAAAAAAGATGAAAAAGTAGATCAAAGAAGAAAGTAAACAGGAACTTTGATGAACTAGTTGAAGGTAGAAATTGTGAGGATAGTTGAGCGGAGGAGTGTAGATCAAAAAAAGACAATTGAGAGGGGGTGTGCGGGTACATATTGAGATGAGGAGAAAAATGGATGATGATGATGGTTTGGGAAGGGGCAGATAGAGTTGGAGGCTGTATATACGGCCCAAAGGCTTTATCTCTATGTGGATGGATATGTGATGATTTTCAATCACATATTGTCCTCACATATTTGATCTGAATAGATATCTAGTTGCGACTATATGGACCATATTGGACCAATATAGTATATGGCTGTATGTAAATTTTTTGGTGTAAAAGTTGGTCACATATTATGTGACCAACGGAACCAAACAGGCCCTAATTTAAGATTGAGCTCATTTGATCTGATTTTTGACTGATTGAGAGAGAGAAAATTGGTAGTGATCAGAGGTAAAGAACTAAGCTATAATTTCAAGATTGAGGGAGAAATAGTTTCTTTGGTTTTTTTGCTGACAATTTTTGGTAGGTCAATTGAGAAAAAAGGAAACTCAAGGGGAGCCCATATTGAAGAGTTTTCACTCTTGTTGGCTCATATACTAGACTGGGAGAAATGAGACTGCAGTGATTTATAAATTGTTCCACATTGACAGTGAAATCCAGGTAGATTAGGGGGGCTCAGGTCAAACTGTTTTGCTGGTTTGACTGTAAAAAACGTTTCAGAATTTCATAAAATTTATGCAAAAGTTTATGAAATTGGGAAAAGTTTCAAGACATCCCAGTTTTCTTTGAGCAGCAAATTTGCGTAAATTTACAACAATAAAGAACCTGAACAACTATAAAACCAAGAACACTAGACAAACAACATGAGATGGAAAAGCAAAGAATGGTGTTGTGAGCCTACTAGTGTCTGTTAGGCTAGTAGAGTCAATAAAAAGGGAGTAGAAACTTTAACAAACTTCTACTGGACTTGTGGGGATTACTATACGCAAGTAAATGAAGAGAAAGAAATGAGTGCTGGAGTTTTACTTGAGATAAACATGTAAAGACTCCAGTTAGTTGACCTTTAAACAAAGGGTTTAGCCTAGGGTTTTTGGGTTACTTATTGTCTTCACAATAATTAAAAAATAAGTAAGTTTTGCAGATGTCATATTCTAAATCATATGTAACTTGACTCTTGAAACCAAGGCTTGAGTTGTAATTGCAGGTTTTAAGGTGTTGACTGCTGCTGACCATCTTGTTTTACAAAACAGGAATTTTGTTATAATACTTTACTGTAAAATGTTTCCCCAGTTTTTCACGAAAAGACTATCAAAGTCTTGACCTGAGACCCCTTGATCACTTTTCACTTGAGGAATCTCTGACAAGAAATTGCATTCTGTAAATTTTAAAATGCAAAAATGAAATGTACTCCACCAAACCAGCACTTTAAACTTTGTGGAATGCAATTTCTGACCAGAAATTGCTCAAGTGAACGCGCCCTTGAACAAATCTCATTCCATATTTCAAGTATTTTAATCAAATTGAACAACTTTTTGAAAGAAAACAACTTAAGAAACTCCATAGCTACACAAAAGAAACCAGTTACTTAAAGAATCAAACATTTCTTCTTCCTTAACAACAATACCAAAACAAAATCTATACATTAAAACACTTGATATTTTTTTACTCTGAATTTCATTAAACTTCCATGACCAAAAAACACGCACACATATTTTATATTCTTGCAAACAAATTCATGAAAAACTTTTTCTTTTACTTTGCTCTCACATACACAAAATTATTTCAAAAAAAATAAAGCTAGAAAAGGAAAAAAAAGTAACAATACTAGATTTCTTTGTTGAGATATATTATAATGTCAAATCAATCTTCTTTTGACTAGATATGTTTTCCTTTTCCTTCATCTTCTCTTTTTTCTCTCTAAATTAGTTTGGTTTTCAACTTCATTTCCTTTACCTTTACCTTTACCTTGACCGTTTGCATTCGCTTTACCATTACTTGAACTTGACTCTTTCTGTTGAACATTGTTTCCAGAAGTTTTCACATTTGAATTACGTTCCTTTTCACGTCTCATCGCAGCATACCAAGATGGACTAAACTTAGGGTGTCCTTTAGCTGAATTGGTAGATCGTTTAGGGTTTTGTGGAAGGGCTGGGTGTGATGGCTTGGCTGGTATAGTGGGCTGTTTGGGTGGTTGTGATGAGGTCGATGGTGGAGGATTATTGGTGGTCACTGCTGTTAAATTGGCTTCAAATTAGCCTATCGGATTAATCCATGATTAAATCAACTTTCAATTTTCATACTTACGTTGTAAAGATTCGATAGGCTTTGGTTCCGTATTCCTTCCAATCAATCGTTCGGCTTCCTTTCCCTTGGATTGTCTCTGGGAATTCGAGATCGGTGATTTAGGGTTTTGTGGTAGTGGTACGGCCATTGATGGTTTAGGTGGCCAAGTGATCTGTTTTGCCGGTTGTGATGAGGGAGATGGCGTAGGATTGTTGGTGGTCACGGCTGTTGATTGGCTTCAAATTAGCCTATCGGATTAATCCATGATTAAATCAACTTTCAATTTTCATACTTACATTGTAAGGGTTGAGTAAGCTTTGGTTCCAGATTATTTCCATTCAATCGTTCGGCTTCCTTTCCCTTGGATTGTCTCTGAGAATTAGAGATCGGCGATTTAGGGTCTTGTGGTAGTGGTGCGGCCAATGATGGTATAGGTGGCCAAGTGATCTGTTTTGCCGGTTGTGATGAGGTAGATGGCGTAGGATTGTTGGTGGTCACTGCTGTTAATGGGCTTCAAATTAGCCTATCGGGTTCATCCACGACTGAGTCAACATTGAATTTTCATACTTACGTTGTAAAGATTCAATAGGCTTTGGTTCCAGATTCCTTCCATTCAATCGTTCTGCTTCCTTTCCCTTGAATTGTTTTCGTGATCTAGATGCCGGTGAAGGGGGTCGAAGAGCCGCCAAATGTCGCCATTCACAAAGCTGTACAAGTCCACCTCCTCGTTCGAGAATCTGTCTTGCACGTTTGATTTCCATTTTGATCGTATGTGCACTACTTTTTCCTATATTTTTAGATGTGTTACTATGGACCGGTAATGGGTTTTGAGAAATCAAGTCAGGTATTGAAATCTCTTACATATCAAATAATCAATAATCATTCAAACACTCACCGAGCACGAATAAAAGGATCTTCAGTTGCTATTGGGTCGGTCCAGCTGTAATACAAAGGTGCATCAGGAGGAATTCGAGTGTTAGCCCTTCTTGAACCACGGTTAGATTGCTTGGGTGTAGCTTGCTGTCCATCGTCCGGTTCATTTGTTAATCCTTCGTTAGACAAATGACTACCTCCTACTTCTGACTCAAGATCTGAACTTTCTTCTTCGTTCAAATTTTCGCCTTGATCCAAACTGTCTCCTTGATCTAAATTTTCTTCCACAATCGAATCTAATTCTACATTCAGATTGGATTTCTCCAACCTGTCTTGATCTCGATCTTCTTCATCTTCAGGAGTTGGACTATCAGGACAAGGTCGACGATAACATGGTTTACCCGATCTAATAGAAATCACTTTAGTATCAAAATCAAATTGATCATAATATTGAAAGAACCCAAGGAATGCAACCGAAAGGTTTTCAATAGGTTTAGGTTCCCAAGCATTAGGTGGTGGTCTAATCATAAAAGAAGCATCATGATGAATAAATTCAATAGTAGGTTGTTTACGTCTTTTAAACCTTGGTCGTTTGCCTAAAGTCGAAATTATAGTCCGTTTCTCAGGATTATCTCCAATCGTTTGAATAATATAATCTTCATCTTGTAGATTTGGTAAATGTCCAATTGATTGTAAATATCCTATGAGCATTAAAATTAAGGTATATGATGATGCAGTTGTTGGACCTAAACTTCCAGATGGATCACATATCCCACGTGATTTAGCCCAAAGTTTAATAGCCATACCCATCGGTCTAAACACATCAGGTGATAAATCATTATAAGCTTTTAAAAGTGCACTATTAAGACATCCTAATAAATTATTACAATTTAAATCAGCTGCAATCGTCTGATTTGGACTCCGAAATTTAACAATCGGTACAGTGGCTGAGGTAATCGGACAAACTTGTCTAAATCCAGCTTGTGATAAGATTTGAGCAATCATTCTCATATTATAAATTTTTCTTGGATTTAAAATGTCTTGTGGTCTTTTTGGACCACGAGGTAAATTAGGATCACAAATACAAAGATCTAAATCTGATGTATTTGAATCTAAATTAAATTGAGTAGAACCGAAAGCTACGACTTGAAACGGTCTTTCAGATGGTAATCGAACTGATCTGCTGTCGTTGATACGTCGAGCAATTTCTTCAATCAAATACTGTCTAGCTTTGATAACATGTGGTGCAGGAGCACACAACTATTCAATACGAACATATAATCAGCTTGGGGAACAAAGAGATACCACACGATCATATGAGACAAGGCTGGAAACTGAGTTGTGACTTACAGATGAGTAAGTCAAGATTTCATTACCGATATCATGAGTTCCGTTAGGTAAAATTGGTACAAGTAAAGCTACCTGAGCTGTTAGATTTCGAGTAGCGTTGTGATTGATTTGCTCAGCAAGGATCGCTTCTTCTCTTGAATTCACAAACAACTGCTGTGTTCCGTTCTGCCTCCTATTTCCCAGATTGGTCGAAGTTGATGCAAGGTTGCGAGATTGTTCTACTGAGCCCCCGGAACGCCAGTTCCCACTCTCTTTATCGGATCTACCCCTACTAGGGCGCTGGAGCAGCCCAATTGAACCTGGGAGGAGGCATTGTATGCGGATATATAAGATTTAGGGCTCTGAAGGTGAAGGTGAAGATGGAGCAGCTACCTTGTTTGACTTGATGTAGCATCGATGAATGATGATCACGACCTTCATCGCTTCTCATATGTGTTCCTAAGTTGATTGCATCTTGAGGTGAACGGTTGTCATCGGGCATCGCATGAACATGCCCAGCGTCGATCTCCAAAGGTTTCTGATCTGGTTTCACAGACCCTGAATCAATCCGATGGGGTGAGGATGGAGCAGCAGTCTTTGAGGTAGATGACTGAGTTACTGAGCTGGAGTCAAAGCGGGTAGGTAAAGTGGCATTCAATTTTTGTTCACGAAGAGGGGTATATTTTGATATCCTGTCCACCGGTTGATCCTGCTGAATCGGTGCTAGTTCATCACTCAAAGTTAATGAAGAGAGTTTACTGGTGATACCGTGATGATCATGGCTAGAATTGGAAGTAAGCTGAGCGGGACGGTCGTAGTCATGAAGAGGTGTGTCAGTAGGATGAGATGTTTGATGACTGTCGATTCTTGAAGCTATAGATGGACAAGACTCAATCAGTTTAAGATCAATAATCAACACTATAAAAAGGGAACTGACTATTTGAGCTTCTAAGATCCATATGATCGTTTGTTTTTGTGAAGGAACTGATAGAATCCATTCGAGTAGGTTGGAGAGATAGAGTCAACCAATTCAAAGGATGATAAATTCTTATGACTTTGAAACTAGATTGTAATGAATTGAGATAATCATGAATTGAAGTTGATCTGGAGATGAAGTTCAATGAGACGGATGGGCTTAACCATCTCAGTAAAGCGTTTGCCAGTGTTTTATGTGTAAGCTGACTTGAAGATAATAATATTTGATGGTGATGGTGATGACAATGAAAACCACGCCTCACCAAATCATGCATACATTTTCATTACACGACTGAAAACAGTACCAATTATGGGATACAAAGTACAAATCCGGACTCGTGCCCGGGCACGTGCCCAGAAGTCCAGTTTCCCGGACACGAGGGAAAAACTGGGCAAAACTTAATTCCCACCTCACTGCCCAATTCACTGCCCAAATCTGATCTCCGCTCAGATTCCACACACCCAATTCAATACCCACATACCAGATTAACTTTAATTTCATGTCGTCGTCTCAAGATATACCCTCTGATACCTTCAATTCCCTTGACCCTTCTTCCGAACCAGATCCTAACGCTACTCATCTCCAACTGGACCCTTCAACTCTCAGTCAGGTGCTCACTGGCGCGATCCAACTAGCTCAATCCGCCGGCTCAAGTGTTCCCAACAAAAACAAAATGCCCAAAGCTAAGAAACCTCGTAAATCAAAAGCAGATCAACCCAAACCACGCTCGCCTCCTAAGTCAAAAAGTCGGAAACCAAAATCGAAGAAGTCCAAAAAGCCGAAATCCGATGATGAAAGTTCTAATGACGAGGATGAGAAGGGCCGCAGGACAACCATTCATTGGGAAAATGATGATAATGGGGCGGGGAAATCTTCAATGTACTTATTGCTCAATTGGCTCACAGATGAACATAATTTCAGTAGATTCAAAGATAACAAATCTGAAAAGCGAGCTGTGGCTGAAGAGATTGAAAGGTATTTCATAGATAATGGAATCACTTGGCGAGATGCGAACACGATCCGGAAAAAGGTACATATTTTTGTCTTATTCATGTTTCTTTCCTTTGTTGATGTCTCAGTCTCACTTTATTGATTTCTTCATAAATCAATATTGTGATACAGATTATGCAATTAGAAGAGGCTTGGCGCAAAGCCGATGATGAGCGAAACCGGACTGGCCAAGGCACTTGGATGACAGCGAAGGAAGTCAAGGCTGCGAAAGGTTGGGCTGATGATAATCCTGAATGGATTAAAATGGAAAAGGTAGCCTTCGGTAAGCAGTCATGCTGGATCTATGCATGTTTCCCTTATGTGTTGTTCTAATGTCTTTTCTCACATTCTTCTTAGCATCTATCTTGAAGAAGTGTAGATACTTTGTGGAACTGGAGCCCGTCTTTGGAACCCGACATGCTAATGTCAGACTCGCTGCCGCGCACGGTTTACCTGCACCTACTCAAAACCTTGAAAGCGAAGTTCAAATGGAGCGTGATTCAAGAGAACATTCAGTTAATTCAAATGTAGTTTATGAGGAGCTTCAAAGCCGTTCTATGCAAGAGGCTTTATCAACAAATGCTGTGGAAGATGGTTTAAACAGTAGTTCCGAAGAGCCAACTATGGAAGACTTCATGAATGTCTTGAATGACAACGATGAAATTCCAGATGACGGTCAAATCCCTTACACACCCACCCCGTTCCGACCGAGAGATTCTTTTCAAGCCCAATCTGAGACTCAAACGACCTCTTCATCACTCAAGCGCACAGGTTCTAGAAACTCAGTTGACTCTACTAGCGTTGGGACCTTCAGCAAAAGAAGCCGAACTTCTGGTTCGGCGTCTTCAATCCAGGCTCTCTTACAAGGAAATCAATTTGGATCAACCCCTCTACAAGCAAGTTCAAATGTCCGAGCGGATCCAAACCTCAATACTTTGGAGCAACAAGCTTTTTTTAAACATGGTCAAAGTATGGAACGTTTGGCTCAGGTAGTTGAAAACATGGGTAGCTCTATTTGTGGACAACAACCGAAACAAACCGAGTTCAGCCCTGAAGAAGCAAAAAAAAAATCTCAGATTGAACTGGAATTGGTTGATGTGAAGTTAAGCAGTGATAAGTTTGATTTAGACTCGCGAAAGGAAAAACATTCACTTGAGATGAAGCAAATGAAAGCTGAATATGAACATCAACAAGTGGCACGAAATGCTCATCTGATTAGTACCTTGATGAAAGATCATAACCTCAGCCTTCAGGACGCAATGCTTGCTGCGCAACACGCACAATCGATGATGCAATCGAGTTCAGCTTCAGGCTCAGGTGTTTGACAAAAGAGTTATATCTCTTGTACTTTCTTTTCGGACTGCCTCAAAACTTCATCTCTTTAAAAAAATTCTCTTGTACTTTCTTTTTGTCAAAACTTCAACTCTTTAAAAAAAATTAAAACCTCTCTCAAATCAAAATAAAAAATTATCTTGTTTTACATTTCTTTTTTTTATATCTATAATGATTCCTCTTAGTATTAAATAGGTCCCATTTGTCTCGCTCTGGCTTGTTTGCACTCAATCTGAAATCTGTTATTTTGAAATCGATTTTTATTATTTGCCACTTTCGAAATGAATCAAATAGATACTTTATTTGAAAATAACATAAAAGGAGAATACATAAAAAAAAAACTTCAAACAAAAAAAGTGAGCACTTAAGTAAGAAAAAGCCACCACAACGGGTTCACCCAAACTAAGGTATGTAATAAAATAAATATCTTAATGATTTTGTCTGGTCATTAAGAATTCAGCAAAAAGATCATCTCTTCGACGTGTATCACGCTCTGTTCTTAAAATTGAATTGTCATTATCAAAATTTGGGGCACCCGGAGGTGTATTTCGACGGCGCGGTTGGTAATCGAGAGCTTCGTCTAACGTCCCCAGTACACCAGACCAGTCCTCTTTGATAGAGATGAGGAAGTTATGTATGATCAAACATACTTCGATCCACTGGTTAGCTTGCAATGCAGTCAAGGCGTCCTTGATGACTAATCTAAGTTCTTTTAAAGATTGAAATCTGCCTTTCAACATTCCGTTACAATGTTCAATGATAACCCGCAACACACTGATTGCTTTATTGAAAGCGTCTTCATCAGATCGAAGGCTGTGACCAGCACATCGTTTGAGACAAGGAATCACCACATCGGATACCGTATACGCGGAGTCGGCTAGTATATACTCATCTTTTTCAAAATAAAGGTTGGGATTTTTGTACAACTAAATAGATGCAAAATGGGAATGTGATTAGTAAGACTGTGAATTGATGAGTTACGTTGACGAGACAGACCTTTGAAGACCGGAACACACGCTGATCGTGCACACTACCACACCACCCCAATTCGTAATAAGTCACCCTCCGATGAATATCACATACCAGCATTATGTTGTACGCATAGAAGTTCTTCCGGGTATAATAATCTTCAGGTGTCACCCGAGGAGCTGAAGCCAGGGCAATCAGGGTACCATCTACAAATCCCACGCAGCCTTTGAAGAAAGTCATCGACGCAGTTTCTTCTTTCAGAGCCAAGCGTTCTTGAGGAGTTGGCCACCGCATGTACTGGTCTTTCAAACTGAGAACGGCATGGATGAACCGTTTTGTCCAATTTTGCACGCTTCCTTCTGTGGATAGAAGTGAAGCAAAAATGAAGCGGGAAAATCTTAAGTACAAATAGAAATTACAATTCAATCTTACCTGAGCAATTGAACATCCTGGCCAGATGGAAATGGTCTCCACCATTTCCTCCAGTTCCTAAGTTTGCAAGTGCCACCAACGTCTGCCACCAAACAGGAGCCTGCTTCATGTTCGAGTTGTTATGAAATACAGGATTATCCTCAATTAAATCAATCAGCTTATTAAAAGCTAACTTTGACATTCGGGCCTGAAAAGAAACCTCACTAAGCAGGTGAAATACAAGTCACATTTAAAAATGAAGATCTGTCACTTATGAGCTTGATGAAGCCATCGCCACCTTCAATCAGCACTTGAGAGAGCCAGGCATTTCGGAGTTCCTTACGACCACGAGGGATCCTGTTTGAAACAAATCGCTTATTATTTAAGATCGTGAGTGCTTCATCTAGGACTTCAAGATCTGAAATAGCCTGTCTTCGCAGATGATATCCCCAGCGAAGGAGGTTATAGTTTTGATCCAAAGCAGGTATCAACTCGAGAATACCGACAAGAGTTACGAGAGCGGTTTTTTTTTATCATCGTCTGTGATCGATTGGCGAAAGAGCGCTAGGGCGTGAAGCATCCGGAATAGGAAGTGGGCGCCAGCAATATCGACTCCAAAGTTGGCTAGAAGGGGTAGGTTGTTGTCTCGCAGGGCTTTGCGTGCGTGACGTTCCACTTGAATTGACCGTCTGAGGGATTGCTTGCGATGGAAACGGGGCATGGAGTTGGTGCTGAGGAGTTCGCAGGGTTGGAGTTAGATGAGGTGAATCTGGCTGACGGAGGATTCAAAGCTGAACTCGTGCCCGGGCACGTGCCCAGAAGTCCAGAGTACAGATTTACCGCCAAAAATGGAATTCGGACTTCTGGGCACGTGCCCGGGCACGAGTCCGGATTTGTACTTTGTATCCCATAAATCTTCCTCAATACATACCAATCCTCCCATATACCCTTCTTCTGAATTACAAAGGGTCTTATCAAGAACAAGCAAAGAAGCTCATTCCAAAGTATAACACAGCGAGAACAAAATAAGCACAGAGAACAAGACCCATCAAGGACTCCAATGGTTAAATTGAGGTATTGCATGCTTGATGGCATATTTGTAAGAATATATGCTAATCAAGGGTGAATGTGTGTATGTATGTACTTGATACCAAAGGCACGTGATCTCTGTATGTCAGCTAACCACCAGACTGAACTGCGGCTCAGCACGTGAGTGTACAAACCAAATCTTTTCATACTTTTTCAAAGAAACCCTTCAGCAAAGTAACCTTTCATCATATCCTCCTTATCTTTGAATTTCTCTTAAACTTCACTAAATCGATCATGCATCTTCAATACACACTTGACGCCGAAGGAAACAGGTTAGTTCTTCAAATTCCTTGATCTGTCAGTCTTTTTTGGGGGGAAAGAATAATTGATTTTGATTTTCTTTTTGTAGAGTGTACACACTTAAAAAAGTCACCACTGAAGGTCAAGTTACTAAATCTGCTCATCCTGGTTAGTTCTTGATCTTGTTTGATGTTATTCGGTTTACAAATACTCATTTTTGCATCTTGCACTTTCTTTAGCTCGATTTTCACCGGATGATAAGTAAGCTTCTAGTCAAACGGTCATCGTATCATTCACTTCCATATCATTCAAGTTTTCATGAGACTGTTTTTTTCATCTTTAGATTTTCAAGACATCGTGTTACTGTAAAGAAACGTTTTGGAGTTTTACCTACCCAATTGCCTTCGAAACCCATGTAATCAATACTCCTGGACTTGATGAACTTGACGACTCGTTGCCTCGAAGCTCTGAAAACCGTATAATCAACCTGAAAGACTTTCATACTACTATGGTGAACTGCCTTGTACTATTGGATTAGATGTTGCCGATGGTTAAGACTACATCCTTGGTGATCTTTAAACCGAATCCGGAGTCTTGAAGCAGTACTACAGGCCATTGGACAAATCAACTCAAAAAGGATATATGACTTGCTTGTATTATCACCGACCTACTATCCTCAATTGTAATCCTTTCGAACCCACATCCAGTAGTGCATTGAGATATGTCTTTGCTTGAGTTGCATTACTTTGTTTCCAAGAAATCTTTGACGCCTAGAACAGTATATAGTTCATTGTCGGATCCCAATATATACCGGGTATTACGGGGAATGTGTGGATATGCCAATGGTTTCCTAGTCAGGTTGTGCTTGATATAACTGCAAAATAGCCAAGCATGGTCATGAACTACAGAGATTGATAGGATCCCGAGTTTGAAGCATTTTGAAAGGAAGTCGATCATTGATGTTGTCTACTTGGGTTTAAGTCTTGTAGTGTGTATGCCCATATAAAAAAGGTGAAAGTTTGATAATCACTCAAAAACAAACAAGAGGTAGGAAAGTGACTTGTTGAACATGTGAGTTAATCTTATCTTGATTTATCTTTGGGTTACTGGTTTGCAAAGGGCACAAATATGTCGCCTGTGATCCAATCCAAAGCTTATTTGTCTAGTACGGCTACCGCGTGGACAATGGGCTGAGTCATTTATTTGAGCGACAACTGGAAGTGCAAGAGACTTTACCAGACTCAAGCACCCATGGCGACACAGCAATAGGTAGCAAGAGCCGCGAGAAAAAAAAACATGATGGATCACTCTTAAGGCACAGCTGCAACTGGGATATCCAGTGAACAATGTGGCCTTTGCTCCTACTGAAAACTGCACCGAGTCTCGTGTTAGAGATAATCACTGCTTTATTTTGATGTACTCTGGCACGGAAAAGGTATGAAATGAATGACATTGTAGTCATCGTGTAGATGGGCTTGCAAGAAAAAATGTTGCAAACTCAAGCTGATGTGTGGGTGAACAGAATTATTTCACTTACCAACGACAACCTTATTAAGATTGAATTAAGATTGATTCACGATTAAGTCAAGAACAGTCTTACATCCGAATCTGATGGCTTGATCAACTGTGTCACCTAGATACGGCAATCTTTTGCCTATATCTAACACCAAGAAAATAATATATATCAAATTGCAGCGAAAGACCTTCATCTAGAGGGTTGGTACATACGCATTTACCTGATACTGCGCTGGTTCAAAGTCTCATATGTTGGAAATAGTCAAGAGCAGCACAACGCAGGGTGCACTTCTTTAAAAAACTTTATTTGTATAAAGCACAGCTAATACCTTAAGGCTGATTTCATGTATCTCATTGGCCTATTAATTAGTTTATTCAAATTTCAATTAAAATGTTGTAAGCTTAGGAAAAGATGTGAATGAGTCTAGGAATTTCACTCTAGTATATGCAATCAGTATGCAATACTTGAAGCAAAAAAATCAAACTTGAAAATATCTACTTTATAATTTACTTCTTAAATCTATTGACTAATGACTTCATGTGAAAGAAATCTAATTTCATGTAGCCACATGGGTTGAATGGATCGAATTCCTCTTGAGTTCATATTCTGTAAGTTTTTCAATCATCTTTGGGGTCCAATGTTGATTCATAGAAGGAAACAGTCGAGCTGTTGATAACAAGATCTGAACGGTTTGGTCTCGCGTCAATTCACCTTGTTTCAAACGTTCTGCCATTTCACTCGGAAGCGAGACAGAAGCCCATATCATTGCGTGAGTGCCGAGGTCCAGTAAGCGAGTCTGGAAGTGGACATGAGTGATATCTTTATGTCCACTTGAAGGTCTTTTCCGATATTCATCTTGCCAATCCGAAAACAATTTCTCAGACCATTCTCGTAAGAGCTCGGGATACGTTTTTCCAGGGTGGTCTTGAATCTTCGATTTGGGTGGTAATCTACGTTCTTTCCCTAAATGGGCTGCGAGCCAAATAGCGCTCTCTGTTTGAGCATCTGATGAAGTCCTCTGCATAACGTGTTGCTTGAAAAAATTGAGAAGTACCCAGTGTAGATTGATCTCACTCTCTTTGAGCATTAGGTTGTCATATATCGTAACAGCTAATTTATGTGTTATATCCATTGTGGGTAACGAGGCCGCCTCTTCGGACGTGCCAGCTGCCTTCTCGATCTCACGTGCTAAACTCTGATAAATACGTAAAGCTATGTGGAAAGATCTTAATGCTTCGTCGCCGATTGGTGTTAAAGGGATTTCGAATTTCAAATCGGTTGGATTTCTAGGGTATGGTGTGCTGTCAGAGAGTTGGGAGGTTCGAGGATGTTCGTGATTGTGCGACAAAACCTCTGGTGAATTCCTAGCAGTGTTATATGATTGAAATTGAGAGTCAGATGACGTCGATGGCTTAAAAGCCATGGCATCTTTTCCATCCTGAGAGGAAATCGTTTTTCTCATTTGAAATCGGGTCGGTGAGATGAAGTCTGCTCCATGGCTTACTGCAGAGTTTGGAGTATGTGTGATAGTAGTAGGTGAGTCCAGAAGCACTGTTTCCCGATATTGTGGTGTGTGTGGGCCATTCATTACTGAAGGCTCCGACGTGGTTATATAATCTGGCGGGGAAATTGTTAAATGTCCTTTTTCAAAAGAGTCTTGATGGATTGGGTTGGGTTGAAATTGCGTCAGACTTGGGAGAAAGCCGCTGGATTCATATGAGTGAGGCATAGTCCTGGTACCAACAGACCCTGCATCTATATCTGAATCCGAATGCAAAAAGGAGTCCAATTCGTTGAGAGAGCTGAACCTTGTTTTTGAATTTTGCCCATGAGCCGAGAAAGATGGAATAGGTGGGGGCAAGGGATAATAGGGATTCGAGGACTTCAATCGAGATTTATCTTCGGAGATTAAAGAAGCTGGTCCTTCGGGTGAAGTAACCCGTGGCTTCTTGGGATTTCGTGCAACAACTTCAGACTCAGGGACCCAGCCCTCATAGTCTGGCTCGATAATTATTGGTGGTGGTTCCAAAGTTGTCCCCTGTGAATTGATTGATTGTTGAAGATGGTAGTCGTTATCATTGGGCTGATGGGATATTGAGTGATCAGGTGACTGATATAAGGACCCAGCTTTACGTGACAGTCTCGCCTTACGAGCGTTCAAAAATTGTTTTAAGCCCCGATCAGCCAACAACAGAGCGGCTCCTTGTGACATTGGAAAAGTATCTGACGTGTCTGTGTATGGCTTGAGTATAGGTTGGAGTTGATCTTCGACATCTGCAGAAGGGGTAGAAAGAGCGCTCAAAGTAAGTTACGGATTCCAGGAAATTCAGCACGGTTTCAGAAGGACAAGTTGATTGACCAGAGAATTCTTTGATGTCGAGAAATAAGAGGATTTTCAATCAAAATTTCCAATCAAATGGTACTATCTACGTCAGTTTTATTCTTTAAAGCTGAAGGTTGATGGACTTGCTTACGTGCAACCGTCTCAATATGACTCCCATCGTCATTGATCATAGAGCCCAAGGACGATAGACCTGGTTCTTCCCATCCCTTCCGGAGTAACGCGCAGTGAGTTAATTCGATGCTGCAGAAACAAATCAAGCAGATCCATTTCAAAGAGCGGCAGAAGAATGTTGAAAGCGTGCCGAAAGACAGCTTGATCATGGCGAATAGTGGTTTCTTGGCGTCGTTTGAAAATCTGAGCTTCCCGATAGATCCAGAGAGCTTGCTTTTTGATTCACAATCTACAGAACCCACTTGATGATTTAGGAGTGTGCCACTGGGTAGCGCTGGGTGATTTGGCTTTCGGAGATGGGGTCAAGACAAAGTGTACGCGTCACACTGAGAGTCCGTAGGCTCGTTTCACACCACGCGCATAGCGTCATATTGTGTCCAATGCGTTATCAAACCGACGCTGTCCTCGTTAGGGTGAGCAGCATTCTAAAGCACCCGCTTGCATGCTGAAGAGATACCACCTGCGAGATACAGAGGTCCCGCTACCGGGTGAACTATCATTACGTGACAGGAGGGGCGTCACCGTAAGGAGGCAGTACTGGGCACTGATCTCAAGACTAAAGTGACAAGAGTATGACTAAAATGCTGTGACGAAAGGAAAGCTGACTCATGTTTTAAAAAACCAAGTCAAATCTATGTAGTAATACTGATGATGAGTGTACGTGAAGCCTTAGGCTGTAATCTCCACAAGGGTTTTTCGTCAAGATCAAAGCTTTCCCGTACTCTTCACGAAGGGTTTCCGAATGACGACGCAGCAAAAAGATCCGACGATGAGAAGCACAGATACGAAACTAGTAAGAGATCTTGTTCTGAAGTAAAAAAAACTAGCAGCCAAGACTCCTGTTACAACCCCTGTCAGAGATAAAACGCTTTATATAGTTTCTTCTGTGCATGGATCGTTGTAGTCAAAACCTGGAAATTTAAATTTCGATTGATCGAGTTTGTGAGTGATTTCGGTCTAGGAAAAAATTCAAGGCATTGCAATGCACTTTTTCTTCGCCAATTGGCTGCTCAGGTTTCCATATGATCCTTCAGATAAGAGGCCAGCGTGCTAGTTTGCCAAACGCAACTAGTCCGAGATGGAGATCGTCGGTGATATTTTGTTAGAAATGTAAGAATCTAAGGAAAGATAAGTAAACCTGTGTTGAGGCTGGGCACAAGGTCATGCACCAGAGCTCTTTGACCTCCTCAGACCCAACCAGACCTAATCCCCCTACAAGCATACGCGGACATTATATGTCTATGCACATGTTACAAAGGAAAGAGGGCATCGAATTTATTCCAGCTCCAGTGAGAAAAAAGAAGACGAGGCTCAACACTTGTATTTATCACCTTCTTACTGTCATCTGAGCTTGCACCCCTCTACATGCATATCCGAGCGTCTTAAGAGGCGTGCAGACTTGCGTGTTTGTCACATGGTAGTTCTTTGATCTAATTTATTTGTCCAACCCAGTTTGAGGGTTGGTGATTTTATTACTGAAAGAGAAAATATAGGCTTCCACCCGTGTAAGCGTTTTGGGATAGAGTTCTCTTGACTCGTGCTCATCCAACAAATTATCCAAGTATGAAAAGTGAAGTGCTTCTTAGATGCTTGAAAAGGGTCATCAAGTATTCTGCCAGTACAGGTCCTTCGATTGTCTTTGGATTATTTGAAGATGTGCTAGGAAAGAACTTCAGATTGCAAGCATTGATAGAAGCTTTCAGCTTTTACACAAGAATCGAAACATTTTTCATCCTTTTTTACACAGAACGTCTCCATCGTCTCGTGCAGAACTTGTGGTATTTTCGGCAAAAAAATGGAAACTACTTGTCCAAACCCCCTTTCAATGGTCTTTCGATTGATTCGAATTGGACTTGTTTACCAGTTTCCATCCATTTATCTGCGTTTTGATTCTTGGCATAATCAAGTGGAAGGTAACCAGCGCGCTAAAGCCAGAAATCTCATTTTCAGTCTCTTATCTTGAGCAAACTTAGATCAGACTCCCAAGATGAGATGAATTGACTGACAATTTTACTGCGGTCGGCCGTGTCCACTCCCTGTTCTTCGTCTCTTTTTTTGACCTGTTCCCAATTGACCATTTCACTATAAGAGAACCAACTCGTTCATCAGATTAGCCTTTCCGGATCAAATTTTGAAATCGTAAGCTCAACTCACGGCTTTGTGTAGGACATCATCAAGCTTGGAGGACCTAAGGGTAGATCAGGATGACGATCTACATTCCAAGTATGGATGACTTTTCCAAACGTTTGATGAACTGCCATCATCATTCCTCTCTCTTCTTCCTCGGGCACAGTCCCTTCTCGTCCAGCGACATGCTAAGGGAGAAATCTTGTATGAGATTCTGTCTTTTGTTAGGGATTTCAGGTCGTCGGTCTTTGGGAATTCTGGAAAACGGACCATCTGCATCAAGACTCCACTCTCGACTTCGTATTTATGGCTGTGCCAATATACTTTCTCTTCCTCTGGAAGCGAATTAAACTTTTGCTCTGAGATTAAATATTCGATTCCTAATATGGTCAAGAGAGATCGATGTTAGAGCTTGGGTCTCTAGTTCTTCAGAAAGAAGACTTGCCAATCAATCGCGCATTTGGTTTGTCACTGTCATATATGATGCATTGATGGAAGTCACAGGAGACACAGGTGCAGTAATGATGCGCTTCGATTTGACGGTCATGTTCATCGGCTACAACATGAAAAGCACATAGATGTTGATGTATCCTGGTTCAATTGCATAGTAAGTCTCGATACCACCCTCTTGTGCTCTGTTAGAAGGATAAAGTGACTCAACTTGCCCATGGGGCTATCTCTGTAAACCCACACACGACATTCGCGGGCCAACGATTGAGAAGGAGAAGAGATGGTTTTCAGCAGGTTGCAGGGCCTGGTAACTGAGATGGTCAAGATGAATTGAACCCACAGCACAGACCAAGGAGCCATTGAGATTGATAGTAGAGGTATTGAGACTGTTTATGAGATGTTTTGATAATCGTCAGTCGGTTTGTGTTTTGTAAGATGGTAAACGCTAGCAAATGCAATCGGGGTTATTAAAGGTGATTAATCGGGTGAATAGCAACTTATGACCAAATAGTGTTAACGACCTAGTGATCTTCAATGTTTGATGATCTCACGACTTTCCTTTCCCTCATTTGCTTTCACCGCTAACAAAGACGCCGTGCGGATAATCGTCAAAACCTCGAAAAGAAGATTCAAGGCTGAGGGATATTCGCTGATTGCTTATGAGTTTCGATTTCCAAGACCCTGCGGCCGGCCAAAATAGCTCACCGACTTGTGGGGCTTCCGTCAATTAATCAAGAGCTCCGATCTTGGTTCCCTCCTGGTTTGCCAGCTATCTGAATTATGAATCTTATCTTTTGCGGGCTCCAATTCGAGAGCAGATAAGTGATGTATGTACAAGCTGACCTGCAGGTCAAATTAACTCTTCGACTTCCGCCCACCCTCGCAAGGTTCACTCCGAACGGGCTCTGATTGCTCTGATGTCAATAGTAGACAACTGATGCCTGGTTATCTGACCTGCAGTCCAAAATATGTACCTTATCCAATGTCGGAGCTTCCATTAATTTCTTGTCAAGTGTGATGGTAATGATAAGATCGAGAATGAATCTAGCTGTATTCCTGTTTAACTCCTATCTTCAAACCCAACCCTTCCAACACTTTGGCAAACGGGCAAGAACCAAACTTAACAAAGTCCCTCTCGCGGCGTCCCTCGACGTCCCACAGGAAACAAGAGGCAATTTTCCCGTGAGAAAACACATTGTATTTGCCACAGTTGATGAGCCAAAATGTATTATTTTGTCGTTATCTCTGCATTATTTCTGTGTTTTGTGTAATCAGTCTTCCCACTGAAAACTATCTCCTTGTTTCCTGTGTCCCTTGCCAAAGGCCTGAGGCTTGAGCAAGGGACTTATGGCTACATATGTAGCAACTCACAAAGCCAAAACTGTCAGTGCTTGCATTGTTCATGATACATGATCTTGTTTTATGATTGAAAGTTGACTGGATGTTTTCAAATCATCAAGGTCCCAAAAGCCACCTGTGCAATGATAGCATATACATGCAATGACCAATGTAACACTTTACCACTCCAGAATGGCCTGGTGGTTATGGCTGCCAGGTTCCCTTGTTGATCCACAGCATTGCAACAACTGATGCAAGTATTCAAGTTGAATGAAAAATTCCTTTTGAAAACATTGACATAAACCTGTGAATCCACAATAGCCGTATCGACATATCTCAAAGACAATTCTATGACACTTGTGGCTTCAATATTATGTTTTGGTTAGCAATTTTGGCCAGCTGTGAGACTAAAACAGTATCTCTGGCTGCATTGTTGGTGGCAATGAAGGCAACTGACCAGAAGGTGGTCAATATCAAGTTGTTTGCTACAGGACCTGCCAAATTAGATCATATTCAATTGGCCATCAAGGCTCAACAGGCCAAAACACTTGCTGAACATATTTGACACCTTCCCAATGCACATAAAGCCAATAGGGGTTGGGCGAAAAACCGACCAACCAGTTTTGCACCTTTGAGAAGCGAGGCGAAGCAAGTCAAAGATGGACGGAAACAACTGTGTGCAGGTTTCACAGACCTGTTGTTCTGCTAGGTCACTCAAAGTCGGTGTTTGGGTCTGAAGACACAAACTTAACAAAGTCCCTCGCCAAAGGCCCGAGCCCCAGCAAGGGACTTACCCCATAAACTGGAATCCTGGCGTGAGAAGTAGCCTGTATTGGCTCAAAAAACACTACTTTGAATTCTTTGATTTGTTCCTAAATAAACAGGTCTCGGAGGTTCATTACATATGAGCCAATTGCAAGCTTCCCCAAATCTGGTCTGGAACTTGGGCTACTGGGGAATCAAAAATGGGTCTGTTTTCAATTTTCAGCAGCGGCGAGCCGGCTCAAAGCCTGTATTTCTCAGAAAGCGGTCAAAATAATTGATCTTCAACTACTCAAAAAGATAACTTCCCAAAAAGATAGAAAGGAGTTTGCAATTGGTACATATGTAATTGTCCCTTGCCATTTTCTTCTTTCTTTGTTGCAAGACATGTTTGTTGAGAGAGAAAAAAAACAAACAGATGTAGAGAATTTGGAGCAAATACAGCTCACTTCTCACGCCAGGATTCCAGTTTATGGGGTAAGTCCCTCGCTGGGGCTCGGGCCTTTGGCAAGGGACTTTGTTAAGTTTGCTGAAGACAGGCCTTTTCAACTGAGCTGAGCTCCAAAAGAGCCTAGGTGGTACCTGGCTCTCCTTTGTGAAAGGTGGAAAGATGTTGTCTATGTGGCTTGAGTGGCACAAATTGCTTTGGTTTTTTGAATTGTTTGGGCTTTGGAATGATCAAGAACACCATCCACCAGTCGACTTTTGGTGATTCTTTTGCAAAGCAAAGCGAACGACAAGTTTTTTTGTTGGCTTTGATATTGTTCTAGCAATCGTTCCTGAGCATTTGTAAAAAACTGAATTACAACTGAATGGACTTCAGAAACTGGTTGGTTGGTTTTTTGCCCAACCCCTAATAAGTCACCACAGCTAGCTGTCTCACCTCCGAAAATTGATCCTATAGAGTTTCACACTCCTAACTTCCATTTCTTGACCATGATGGATGCTCCTGATTCATCAGCGGATAGTGTATCAAGAGTTCTGGACCAACTGAACCAAATTCATTCTAGTTGCTGATGGAAATCTTGGATCCAATTCACTAGTTGAAAGTCTTTGTGGAATGCTTGACCCCAAATACATTTGATCAAAGGTCTTTCTTGGGTGCTAATGGTTTCTGGTGCTGCACATACCACATGGGATTTTGCCAGAGCAATCAGGGAACTATATTGGGGAAATTCCAGTAACAGCAAGAATGCTTGTGGGTGGAGGCATTGTTTGAATTGGATGATGATTATAAAAAGCCAGTCACCTCACAGGATTTTAATTCAATCATCAGAAACATGCAGAGTTTCTTCAGAAAGCTAATCTTGTTTTCATAATCAAGTGAGAACCTATGCTAATTTTATGTTTGATCTTCATCTACTAATGATACCCTTGGATCTGTGAGTATCCAAGAAAAGTAATTGAAACATCAGATAAAACTGATCTCACTCAGAAGTCAGAGTGCAACTGGGTTTTGGACACCATGTGGTCTTGCTATAGTATTTTGAAGGTTCCGCTTTGAGAGTTACAAAAGAAACCAATGATTTGAAGAAATACAACTTGATGCTTCACGTACGTGATCTTGAAACGATTGTTGAGGCACATAATGCCACCTGTGCCGGTGACACAGGTCTGCTCATTGCCATGTGGAAGTGCCGGGCCCTCATGGCGCAAGGTGTTGCTGGTCTGTCCCATTATCCTCGCCATATACCTCAAATGGTATTATGTCCTACTCAAAGAAGACCTTCCACCACAGCTGGCCCATGTGATCAAACATTCTATCCTCATTCCATTGCCTGAGCAAGATAGGCATCACATAGATGCCAATAGACCAATCCCTGGAGGTGCACATACTCTGGCTAAAAGAAAGTCAGTTAAAGCTGCATTCATTTCTGTGTCAAATTTCGCGCTGAAAGTTTGGTCTATCTTATTGAAAAGGGGGTGGGAGATTTTTCCACCAACCACTTTACACCGGATTATCCGGTGTGAAAAAGTGACGGTGGAAAATTCGATACCAAGGGGGGGTAAGTCGAATTTTCCACCGGATTCTATTTTTTTCAAGGGGTGGAAAAGAATCCGGTGGAAAATGGCCGGTGTAAAACTATTTTACCCGGCCGTGAAGTGTAATTTTACACCCAATCTTTCACACTGGATAATCGAGTGTAAAAAAAGTCGGGGTAAAATTCATGGCCCCGGTCGTGGACTGTACTTTTCCACCGGATACTTAACACCGCCCTGATCCGGTGCAACCGGAAAGGGTGTAAATTTCCCACTTCAAGGGGTAATCTACACTTTACCACCGTGAGATGACACCGAATCCTATCCCACCATGTCTGGATATCAGATATCAAACAAACCGACAACTTACCACACATGCCACCAAACAACTTCAAACCTTCCATTCCCACTTATATCCGTGGATGTGTCTCGAAAAAACAGGATTCGAATGACGGTCGGCTTCAACTCAAGTTCATTTCCGATCGGCTTCTTCAGTTCGACACTTCATCCAATGACATCGAACCCTTATATCCCACCTTGGCCTTCTGTTCTTGACTTCCCATCATCCAAAATCTCTCTTTCTGGACCGAGTTTCTCTCAAACGTCGTATATCATTACCTATCCCTATCGTAAACGTCTCATATTTCTCAAGGTGTCGGTCTCGTTTTATTTCGCAATGGGACTTTCACAGTCCTCTGAGGTCTTTCAAGACGACGACGACGACGACAAGTCTTTGGTCGTATCATCTCCTTCTTCTCCTGTTAAATCCTGTTTATCATCATCTCCTGTTAAAACCTCAAGTTTATCATCTCGATCGTCTCCATCGCCATTACCTTCTCCATCTTCGCGGTCTAAAGTTAAAAATTTGGTCGAATTACATCCTGTGTCTCCTGTTTCTAGCTGTCGATCATCTACGTCGTTCAACTCCAGTGCTATCACCATGAGTGAAGATATCAGCCCTGAAGTCGATGATCTCGACGATTTGGCCGATTATACTGTCGCCTGCACCCCTGAGGAACAGACCGATAAGCTTTTAGCTCGCCGTCGCCAGCTTCAAATACCAACGGACAAGACCCAGTATCAAACTTGGATCGACCACGGTTCCATTGTGGATTCTCAGAATTACCCAAAGTATCCCAACGGGGAAACAGTTTTTGTCAAAGATCCTAAAGACAAAATAACGAATTTTCGGCATATCGCTTGGACTTACACAATGAAAACCGATCGGAATGGCAAGTGGATCATTCGACGTTACACCTGCCTTGGTGTAATGGGTTGCTCTGAACCGAGTTGCACTTTTGCTGGTTCCCCGCCAACTGGACGCAATAAGATTGAGGAGATACTATCAAAGTAAGTCAAATATATATATATATATACCTCATATATATATACCTCGTGTTTCAAAGATAAGATACTAACATTGAAATTTTTCCATATAGTGGCACCGCGTGCCCTGTCACTGGATGCATCGGCATACAGACACACATCCGATGTCTTGCTCACTGTCGCATTGACGAGGATCACACAGATCCCAAAGCTGTATGGGGCTTGCTTCGTCACCAGGGTAAACATACCCACGAATGGCCAGAAGCCAAGAAGGCAGATCCACTTTCAAAGGCGAAGCTCAAAGATGTTGTATTAAATGATCCCAAAGTTGGACCTTTGGGTCTAAAAGTAAGTTATCTTTAGTTTTGACGATGATTTCACTTTACCTTACGCGTGTTTTTGCAATGACTTCAAGGTTGGACGGGCGCACGTTGGCACGGACCCAATCAAGTCAATCGTGGAAGTCCACAGCTCTTTTGGAAATACCGACCGGCTTGGTTATCTTCGGCGTCTTATCTTAATTGAACATGGTTTAATGGCTGATAAGAATGACAAAGAAGGAGGCGATAAATGGCTCATCCAACTTATGCATTGGTGCAGGTTAGTGTACTTATGCTTCCTTTAATCTTTGTCTTTTATTTACTATATTTACTATTTATTTTTTTCCCTCACACACAGTCAAGGATTGCGATTCGTGTCAGTCTTGATGGATCTCAAGGACTTCCACTTCAGCTTTCAGACCGAATGGATGGCTGAAATGCTTGTATATCAAGAGAAGAGGACTGTCAATGGGAGCATCCAACGCGAGGCTTACTCAGGAGGTCTTTTATCCGATGTCACTTACCGGTTCTTCCAAAACGGATACCTGCTCACCACATCTATGTTCAACGAGAAACTGGAACGCTGGGTCCCCGTCCTGCTCACATGGTTGGGAGGACTGTACTCAGAACACTACGAAGCCCATTTCACCACTTTATTACGCCATATACAAGAATGTGGATTACCTGATCGAGATAAGAGGAAACTGACGGAGCAAGTGGTTGACTTCTCTCAAGCGCAAAAGTCTGGATTTATAGCCGCCTATATGAAAGTATTCAACACGAATCGGAAAACTGCTCTCTCCAAGCTGCATGGATGCGAACAGCATTTTTCGCAAGCTGTTACTCGGATCAAGCGCAATCGTAACATAGTAAGGGAGGAACTTGATGTGAGTAATTTTTACTTTGTTATTTTTATCATTATCTATTGTTGTTGACATTGATTGTACATCACAGGGGATTTGGCAAACAAAGTGCAAGGAGCTACTCTTGCCTGACGAGGAGGCCCCGAAGAACGAGACCCTAGATCAGTGTTTTGACTATCTCCGCCGTACTTTTCCTCGTGCCAAGAAGTTCCTGGATTGGTGGCACACATCCAATATCGAAGCTATGTTATTTCGAGGAAGGAATCGACTACCCGAAGACAATCCACCTCCAACTTTATCTGATTCGGAATCTGAGTCAGAAGGCGCTCCTCGTAAACCCCGGCAACGTGTGGCGGCAACAACCAATGCGCAAGAGTCGCTGCATCGGGTTTATTACATGCTTTGGTAAGTCATTGATGATATTATTGATTTCTTCCTCTTTATTATATATGATACTGATCATATATATATCATGTATTTCACCAGTGACGGCAAATGCGGACTCATCGGCGGTATGGTCCAACTTTTGGCATTTGTGAAATGCCTCGAACGGGATTTCCAGTCTTGACAAATAGGAGTCAATGTCGCTTATGGATCATCAAAGAAGCAGTGGGAGGACGTCGTCACAGCCCTAGGTATGCCACAGCCGACGAAACGCAAGTATCACGCAAATGACGGCCGCGCTCCCGACACTACCGACGAGCTCCTTGCCACTAAGAAAAATAAGCGGAAAGGCCCTGGACGACCTTTGGGCTCTCAAAACATCAACCGGAACCCTATCACCACTTACCAATCTTACTCGGCTGGTTCTTCTCGCGGTACAATCAACCGCTGCTGGCAGACGTTGACACTCGAATCTCTATACGCCATTTTTGGACCGTTGTGGAGTTCACATACACATGTGAACGGGACCAATCTGATTGTCCTTCTCATCCGTCATTTCACTCAAAGGCTGAAGGCCGAAATTACTCATAGTGATCATATGAAGAATGTGCTAACTCGAGGTCAGAACCTCTTGCACAAAGCTCTTCACAAGATGGCGCCTGCTTCTTTCGCTTTTGACGCGTTCGCCTCTGCTGACGGCTTTATGGAACGCCTTGTCCAATCAGCCGAACTGAGGCCTTTGTTCTCTATTCCCGTAACAAGGACCAAGATCTGTCCTGTCGACGAAGGACATAATCAAACATTCCCTTCCACCAGGCCCGTTCTTAGGATCACCAGCGGCATGTTTTCGGAGGCTGCAATATCAGTTGCAGACGTCGGCATCTTAATCCGCGAGTGGCTCACTGAAGGACTCCGATCTGACACTGGACAGGTGTGTTGACAGTGCCATCCGGAGGTCGAAGAAACCCCTACCGACCCCACGATGCTAGGACAACGTAGTCAAATCACTATTACTGGTCCTAATGAGGCGCCATTACATCTTTATTTTCTAGTTGAAGGAGTTGCTGGAATGACTAGAGACGAAAGGAACACATTTATGGGTGATCAAGTTTGGCCAGCTCAATTATGGATGGGTGAATATTCTTATCATCTGGTTTCACGAGGCTTTTGGAGTGAAAGTCACTACTGGTGCAAAGTGGTGAGGAAGTATGATGGGATCTTGGGTGTATGGCATTTTGATGAGCGTCAAAACGCAGGTATTGCTCAGCTTCAAGGTACCGACGTGGCTGCCATTGGTGGTGCGCAAGCCAACACCAGCTGGTTGGTTTATTCACGTGTTCCATTTCAACAGGAAAAGGAACAAATCGCCCAATCAATCTGTGACCTAATGAAATCATTCCCGGACCATCACCAATCGATTCCCTTCTCAATGCCGACGGACGTTGCACCATTCGGAGGTCCTCTGCCTTCTATCAAAGACGTTGATCGTCATTCTGGAGATGATAATGAGGATTTGCTTCTTACTTTAGATCAAGAAGTTCAATCACAGCCAGTTCAGAGTCATTCTCAGCCAGTTCAGAGAAATGAAGAAGTGGATTCACCGCCAGTTCATAGTATTTCGCAGCCAGTGAGAAATCTGAAGATCAAGCTCAAGATACCACAAGAATTACCTACGACATTGGTATTGGAAAGCGCTGAGGGTGATGCCGGTGGTAAGTGAAAGTAATGTATTTGCCTCATTCTATCTCTGACTCTGTGGGTATGACCATTTCCAGCGGCCGCCCCGATTTCCCCTGCAAGCCTCAAACGCCAAGCTGCTGCAGAAAAACGCCAAGCAGCCGCAGAAAAACGTAAGGCTGCTGCCGCAGAAAAACGTAAGGCTAAGGCTGCAAAGGGCAAGGGCAAGGGTAAATAAATGTTTGATCAACTTTTCTTTTCTTTCTTATGTTGTCCTCTTTCTTCTCCTTATCGTCACTCTTTTTGCTTTTTTTAATCAATTTCTTCTCTGTCACTCTTTCTTTTTAATTTTTTTGTTTTGTTTTAATCATTGTCATACTTGTACGGGTGTAAATAAATGATGGTCATTTGGAGTTTGTTTTTCTCTCTGTTTCCTTCCTTGGTTTGGTTTCTTTTTCTTTTCATTGTCATTCTTGTACTGGTAAAACAGATGGTCATTTGGCGCAAGTTTGTTTTGAGTCTCTTTTTTCCCTGTTTCTTTTTTTTATCATTGTCATAATTGTACTTGTGTAATTAATTGATGGTCATTGGGCGCGAGTTTTGGGTTGAGTGGTCTATGAAATGTTGCCAAAATTTTACCCCGGTGTAAGTTTGGTTGGGTGTAAAATTCAACTTTGGGGGTCGAATTTTAATTTTTGCACTTGTTTGGCTTCCACCGGATTAATCCGGTGGAAAGGATTAAGTGTAAAATTATAACTTGAGTGGTCAAAGTTAATTTTTGCACTGACTTTTTTTACACTAGATTATCCGGTGTGAAACATTGAGTGTAAAATTACACTTCACGGCCGGGTAAAATAGTTTTACACCGGCCATTTACCACCGGATTCTTTTCCACCCCTTGAAAAAAAAAATCTGGTGGAAAATTCGACTTACCCCCCCTTGGTATTGAATTTTCCACCGTCACTTTTTCACACCGGATAATCCTTAGCTTGAACAAGCCCTCTCTGCGCGGCCACGTCCGCGCGCCTCGCAGAGGGGCTTGGGACTAATCGTGAGTTCCTGGCACGGAGACTCCACGAGTTAAGTCCACTTATGTAGTTTTTTGCTTTTTCCCGCTTTCCTCACTGATAAAAACAACTTTACCTTGCAGGAAAAGTTGTTCGTATTTTTGTTCTACATGTGTTTCCATCTTGATATCCTGGTTATCACTACTTCATCACCCTGATCATGAGTTGAGTTTTCAAGCTCTTATGTCCCATATGTAAATGAATGTACAGCCTGTATTCGCATCGTACGTGATTTAAACATAAGGATGTGCAAAACATTTGGTGAATTTGGCGCAGGCAGAAACTAACGTACAAAAAGCACTGAAAACAGACCACAATACAGGCGGGTGTTGTAAGAATGTTAAAGCCACATTTCTGGCCGCATCAGATGGTTTGTGTACAATCTGAGGCTATGAGGATGTGTAGAACAAAAATATGAACAACTCTTCCTGCAAGGTAAAGTTGTTTTTATCGGTGAGGAAAGCGGGAAAAGGCGAAAAACTACATAAGTGGACTTAACTCGTGGAGTCTCCGTGCCAGGAACTCACGATTAGTCCCAAGCCCCTCTGCGAGGCGCGCGGACGTGGCCGCGCAGAGAGGGCTTGTTCAAGCTAAGGATAATCCGGTGTAAAGTGGTCGGTGGAAAAATCCCCCTCCCCATTGAAAAGGTCTGTTGTGTACAAAATTTACTGGCACTGGACAGTGGAGCGGTCCCCTCAACTCGCGATCATAAGAAATAAGTACAGTAGACTCCCTCAAAACCCATACCGTTTCATGGAAGCCCAAAACTATGGGTTTTATGGACGTATGGTTTTGGAGGATCTCCCTTATCACCCATGGATTAAGGTTTGGCGGGCAAAGTATTGGTCAAGAGGGAGATAAAAACAAGGGGCGAGCAAATCAAAAAAAAAATCATTTCTTCATTCTTGTGCGCAATAACAATAGTTATGTATAAGAGTTCTGTAGTTAATGTTTAATAAAGTAGTCAGATAATGACGGTTGTTTTAAAGATCGCGTGTGAATTAAGCGAAAGTGTCTGCCAGCAGTGCGAATAGCAGCTTCAAAAGACTTTGCTTCGGGTGTGTCTTCATGCTTGATGTACTCGGAAACAACAGAAAGGGAAGATGTAAAGGCTGTATAGCTTGGTCGAGGAGTGGAGACTTTGAAAATGTCTATTTCAGTATCTTGATCCTTGTCAGTATCTCGATTATTGATCGATTCAAATATTTCGTCAACAGTCCATTCCTCCAATCCACTAGAATGCTCTCCAAGAGGATTGAGGAGCTCTGCAATTGACATCACGTTCTGTTGATGGACAAGTTTGAGCTGTTTAAGTTGTTCGAGATCTTCGGCCAACACAGCCTCAGCTTCGGAATCTGGGACTATTGGGAGGTTAGTGTCCGAGTCTGATGTTAAGACAGTTGGGTCATCGATTATCGATCCATCAGGTTTGCGAGGTGAGATGATCCCAGTCTTGCGGAAGCAGTTCGATATGGTACCTTCACTAACACAAAACCAAGCTTCTTGAGCCAATTTCATTGCATCAAGCTGGTGTATCTTGTAGATTTCAGCAACCGGGATCTCTGCATCATAACGCTTCAGTGAATAGTTGATAAAGTTTGATCGGTAGTGACACTTGAATGAGGCTATGATTCCGGCATCCAAGGGTTGGATATGTGAGGTTAGGTTGGGTGCGAAGAATTCTAACCGAATGTTTGTAAGCTTGTGCTTGGGAGGCTCTCCATGCCCGCTGAAGTTGTCAACTAGTAGGAGGATGTGTCGTTTTTGAACTGCAAGATCTTGGTCCCACTTCGTGATCCAGCTGCTGAACAGCTCAAAAGTCATCCATGCTTTAGTGTTGTTACGATAACAAAAACCAAGACTCTCGCCACTTTTCTTGTTGAAGCATGCAGGCTTGTTTGCCTTGCCAATAATTAACGGTTCAATCTTTTCACCTTCAGCACTAGCAGCAAGGGCATAGGTCAATCTTCGCTTATCACCTTTAACCCCTGATTTTGGACCAAATGCAAGACCTTTGTCGGGGGGGCATGCTAAAACATAAGAAGGTGATTGTTATTGATAAATGTTACACTGTATACATAGGTTAAAGAGAGAACCAACCCGTAGAATAGACCAGTCTCATCCATGTTCCAAATATCTCGTGGATGGTAAAGGTTGGTAATTTCTCGGAGGCATTGACGCTCGGCAGCTACTGTATCGGGAAGGACGGAGCCAGCTTCTCCGTGCTTTCTTATGTGGCGTAAACCGTTCCGAGTCTTGAATCGAGTGAGCCATCCCTCACTAAGAGCAAGCCAGTCTTGTTCAGAGATTTTGAAGAGTTTAGCGAATTCACACCACTTGGATCGTATCACATCGCCCGTGATTGTTAAGCCTGCAATGACAGCCTGTTGAACCCAGGCTTGAAGTGCTTCATCAACCTGCGGATGCTCGGATGTGTTCTTTCGAGATCCAGTGTGACCAGCTCGATGATTCTCTTGAATCTTGGTCTTGTCTCGGACCCATTCTGAAACGAGTGGTTGCTTGATGTTCAACTCGGGATAGATTTCA